TCACTATCCTTAATCCAATCACTCCTAGTAGTACTAATCCACTAACCCTACTACTACTACTGCTACTACTACTACTACTACAACTACTACTACTACTACTACTACTACTACTACTACTACTACTACTACTACTACTACTACTACTACTACTACTACTACTATACTACTATTACTATTACTACTACGACGACTACTACTACTACTACTACTACTACTTACTACTACTACTACTACTACTACTACTACTACTATTACTACTACTATTACTATTACAAACACTGCGAGGAGTAGTGCTACGGCGAAGGCCGCACGACACAAGTCAACCACTGGACTCTTTCCCGGCTAGGATCTGCGCAGCGGGAGTTGGAGACCCTTCAGGTGATTGTGGGATTTTCGGAAATCCATGCTTCAAGCTTCCATACAAAAACTAAGCAAACTGGACTCTTTCCCGGCGGAGCGCCGGGGAAAAGTCCAGTTTGCCGGGAAAAAGCCCAGTTTGCCGGGAAAAAGTGGACAACCCATGGGGCGGCCAGGTCTGCGGTCGGCATGCGCAAAACACATGCAAACAACACCTCGGTAAAGTTTCCGTTCTTCGATGATGGCCCTCTTCGCGTCACGTTTTTCAAAAGCTTCTGGTGTGTTGACAGCCCCTTTCCTTTTTGAGCGCATGACTTTGCCTTCGCCATCTCGTTTACCGTTCTGACGAGGATGCCAGTGACGGATCTGCTGTTCGGTGTAGCCTCGGTCCTGGCAATGTCGCATCGCGTCGAAATCTATCTATCTATCTACCTATATATATTGGCGAGCCAATCCAGAACTCTCGCGGTCAACAAAGCGCTGAATCTCGCCCTCTGGGAATTCTTCTGGGGGATATTCCCTGAGGCGGGTGTCCCCGCGAGCGCCCCCTCCTTGGTGGAGCGCCAGGTCTGGCGCCCCTCCTTGGAGGGGCCCTCGGGGCCCTCGCACCAGGGCGATTGGGGCGCTGAAGGCCGCTCGGGCGAGCGCCGCTGGAGCGCGCGCGCAAGTGTTCGCGCGAGCCGCTGCGGACCCGACCGCGACGTAGAAGACGCGGGTCAATTTCCCACTCTTCGTCATCATCGCCCGCGCGGCACGCGCGTCTCCAGGCGCGACGGCTTTCCGGTCGCTCCTGGCGGCGCGGGGAAACGCTCCGCGGCTACGAATGTAGATTGAAATCCTTCGTTGTGGCCGAGCTCGTACTGGATGCGATCTAACAGATCGGCGGCATCACGCGGGTTTCTCCGCAAACGGTCATCGCCATTCACTTCCGTGGTTGTCGGATTACCACTTGTGCTTCCTCTCCTGCCGCAGGAACCGTGGCTTCTGAATCCGCAGGCGCCCCCGCCATTTCTTGATATGCCTCGGCGGGCATGTCGATATTCTCGACAAACTCAATATCGGCAGGTTGCCCCGCGACGGGCATGCCCAGCCAGTCTGCCAAGTCGATCACGCCGCGGCCAGAGAATGCATCCTCGAACAGCTCGCCGACGTAATTCTCGAGGAACATACCGGCACTCAAATATCTGGCAGCCACGCAGTTAACAAGTGTGACTGAGCTGTCGGCAGGGTCGGCTAAAAGTGTCGCCAAATCAACATACTGTGTGTCCGAGTCAGTTTGAGCCAAATGCATCGGCGGACCTCTGCCTCCCCCATCGCCCCGAGGGCGCTCGCGGCGAAAATGTTGCGTGCTATGGCAGATTTCACATTCCATTGTTTTGCCGTTTGCATCCTTCGGTTTGCCCCGACATCCCTCACCCTTTCCTGAAGTGCGCCTGCGGTTCCTGCCTGCGCCGAGGAACAAGTCTTCATCTTGCGGACCAGTAAGGGATGCTGGGAATGCTAACATACCTCTGCCATGCAGTCGCCGTCGTTTGCCTTGACCCTTGCCTCGACCCTTACCCTTTGTCCTGAGTGACCGTCGGATAGTACGTCGTACCTTGCGGACTGGCTTCTTCGTAAATCGCCTCCATCGGCGTTCGTGTTTCTGATGTCCTAAGAATAGCCATTGCGCCTGTTGTACTTCCGTGTTCTTCCGTGAGATACGTGGGCATGTCGGAGCTGCCTAGAGCAGTCGTCTCGTCGCCTGAAGACGCGTCGGCGTCGGTCCCAGGGTCGAAGTCGGACTCGGCGGGTTGCCCCGCTGAGCCCGCTAGGGCAAAGGCTCGCGACGGGGCCGAAACATCCGGCGGCCCCCGAAACCTGGCCCAGGAGTCTTGCAAACCCGGGGCCGAACCGCCATTTTGAGTTAATAGCGTGGCGGTCTCCGTTGGTTGCGGATCGTCATTCCAGACGTTGGTAGCAGGTTGTCCTGAGTTAGCTTCAGCGTGAAAGGTCTCGGTGCGGTGACCGCGACTGAAGATACCACCAATATTGCCAGGGGTTCTCTCAGCGACGTGGGCATATGATCTCATGCGTTCAAGCAGAGAGTCCAGTTACTGCTGGCCCCTCGGAACGCGGTGGCTTAGTGGCTGCAGGAGTTGTTGCGCACGCGACGCCTCCACTCCTAAGGCTCTGAATAGAATAACTGTTACAACTGGAAAATTGGGGGATGTTAAAGCCTGCCGTTTCAGCTTCGTAGCGGGCTATCTCGAACCGTGCCAAAATCAGGTCGATCCGTTCTCCCGCATGGGCTCGGAAGCCAATGGGAGCTGTACCAGAGTTGAGTTGGCGTTCCTCTTCTATAGGTCCTCGAACTTCGCGCTCAAGAGGAACGTGATGTAGGTGGCGCCATCGGTATGGCAGCCATCTATGTTAACACCGAAATTGATAACTGCTGGGGGAACTCTCACGGCTATGGTCCGTGCGAGGCCTCCCAAGCCTCGCTGCAATGCTGCAGCTTGTTGGGAGGGTGTCATGGTGCCCATGGTCACGTTGATCAAGGCATGCACTTCGCGAGCGAATTCGCGGAAAGGTACTTGACCGGCCGGGTCCCAATGGGGGCCGGTTGTTCTTGCGCCGTCTCCGCCACGCATGTGTCCCACCGCACGCCCGATAGCAACCCATATGGGCCCAGAGATACTTATACCAATCCAGTGGCCTCGTAGGTGGTAGTCGGATGTGGCTGGTTGGGGTTTGCGGTGTGTGTGGTCGTAAGCCTGCGTGGGGAGGGAGGCGGCGCAATGTCGTATCGCATGTTTCCACCATGCATTGTATCTTCGTAGAAGTTTCCAAGTGGAGTAGGTGGGTGGACTTCAGGAATGTAGTAGCGCAGGGATGCAGGATTCGAGTGAGAGGCCTCTGCGTGGGCAGAGGTATCACTGCAAGTGTCCTTGCGGTTGTGCGTGCGTAGTTATGTACGTTCCTCCGCGCAGACCCACTGCACCCTGATGTTCCACCATGTCAGTAGTCCACCAGATAATGCCATGGATGGTGGGGAGTAGAGCAAAAGCTGACCACCATAGGCCAGCTCCGATACCAAGTTTGAAAGGGCGTGGGAGGTCCAACCAACAGCTTCGCCTTATGCGAAGCCCAGCTCCAGCTCTGTTGTACCGTAGTAGCGATAGTCCCAGTAGGAGGAGATCGCCGCGGGACCGACAGGCCACCTCAAGCAAAGGATGTTTTGGTCTCGACGGCAAATGGTACACCTCGCGCTGAGGTGTAGTCAGATCTGGGCGGCTGGCCGCTTGAGCACAAACGGCCGCGGACACACGCTCGTTACCTCTCGCTTGTATCCCAGCTCACTTTAGAGTCGCCAGCCCAGCGCACCGGATCACATCTTAACAAAAAGCGTTCCGTTGTGCGCTTTCGCAGACCCTCCGCTTGGGGCGGGGCGTCGAAGTGGAGGTGCGTTCGGCTTGCGACTCCTGAGATTTTCGCCAAAGTAAGTGAACCGACGGACTTCTGAGCGCGCAGATTGTGGTTCATTTACACAGTGAACTATTTGGACGTTCTTATGCTGTTTTGGCGCCGTCTTGGGCCGTCTCGGGCCGTTTTCGACAACGGCAATCCATCTTTGGCACCGTATTGGTTGGCGACGGCGGCGAGTCTTGAGGAGGCAACAGAAGGCGCCAAGAAACTCCAGGAGGCTGAGAGATATCACAGGGGGACCTAATGACGCGGCCCCAGGTGGCCTCAGGAGGCTCCAAGAGGCATCCATAGGCTACAGGAGGCGTCAGGGCGAATCAGAGGCCCCAGAAGGCCACAGGTGGCCGCAGAAGGCCACAGGAGGCCGCAGAAGGCCTCAGATGCTCCAGGTCTTAGCACGACTCCAGGGCCCCAGAAGACCTCGGGACGGCCCCAGGGGTCCCAGGAGGCTCCAGGAGACCGCCCCGCCGGGCGCCAGGAGGCTCCAGGTGGCCGCTCCGCAAGGCCCCATGGAGGCCCCAGGAGTCCACAGGATGGTATGGAGGGGAGGGTGGAGGGGGGGGGGGGGGAGGGGAGGGTGGAGGGGGGGGGGGGAGGGGAGGGGAGACGAGTGGGGAGGGTGGTCCCCCATCCTCGCCACCTCCTCACTTTCCCCACCCTCCGTCGCCCTCCCGCGCCCTCTCCCCATGCGCTCTGCCAGCCCCCCCCCCCCTCCCCACGCCACCCCCCTCCCGCTCCCTTCCACCCTGCCCCTCCCCTTGCACCCCTCCTCCCCGTCCCCCATCCCACACCGCTCTCGCCACCCCCTGCCTGGGTAGTCGAAGCCAATCTGGCGCCAATCTGGCAGGCACAATCTGGCAAATGGGGGCCATCTGGCGAGGGAGCCAGCGCGAATCCAGCCTGGCGAATAGCCCAAATCATCCAGTTTGGCCCGGCCAGATTGGCCCCTGGGGCCCAATCCAATCTGACAGTCTGGCCTTCCACTACCCAGTCTGGATGGAGGGCAGACCCTTTTCAAAATGGGGCTCTCGCGTGAGTCTGCCTCGATGCTCATGGCCAGAAGTTCAAGCGTGTGCAAGAATGACAGAGGTGGGGGCCCAATCCAATCTGACAGTCTGGTCTTCGACTACCCAGCCTGCCCCGCCGCGCGGCTGCTTCGTCGCAGTGCCGCCGCGCTCCTCCGACCACCGCATCGCCTCGATCTCTTGCTTGACCTCCGCGGCGCGGGCGCTCCGATCAGGAGCGCGCGCACCTTCTGTCGAGGGCCTGACCTCATGGCTCTGTCATCCTCAGTTTCCTTCTCTTGATCCTGTTCCTCCTCCTCCTCCTCCTCATCATCATCATCATCATCATCATCATCATCAGCATCAGCATCAGCATCATCATCAGCAGCATCAGCATCAGCATCAGCATCATCAGCATCATCATCATCATCATCATCATCAGCATGATCATGATCATGATCATGATGATGATGATGATGATCATGATCATGATCATCATCATCATCATCATCATCATCATCATCATCATCATCAGACTCGTCCTTCTTATGATGCCGCTGCTGCTCCTCCTCCTACTCCTTATCCTCCTCCTTATCCTCCACCTGCATCCTTATAGGTTGCTCCTGCCTGTCGCAAGCCCAGACGCGTCGGAGGGCGGGCCTGCAGCATTCACAGGGATGGAGGGCGGTGCCTTCTTCAGGGTTGACCTTTCGAGCTTTCGATCGAGCACAGTACAGTACAGTTGGGGCGATATCGGCCCAAAAGCTCGGCAGCGCATTGGCCACACGAAGTGACACCATGCACAAAAACTCATTCACAAGACAACGCTCAGCGAGAGCACCGCTGCGCTGCAAGCTTAGCTCCGTCCTGCCATCGCATCGATCGAGACTTCTGCCAAATGGGATGCGGCCGAATTCTGCTCACGAGTGCCAGCTGCACGGATGGAGGGGAGGGCAAACCCTTTTCAAAATGGGGCTCTCGCGTGAGTCTGCCTCGATGCTCATGACCAGAAGCTCAAGCGTGTGCAAGAATGACGGAGGTGGGGGCGGTGCTTTCTCAAGACGGGGATATCGCTGACCACCTCGTTGAACAGTATGGTCATACCTTTCCACATTCCTTGCTGACCGCCAAGGATGCAAGGCCGTTCTTTTTCAGAGCGGGGCTCTCACCCGAATGGCATACCCACAAGGGGGGTGGTCTTTCAAGGGCGCGTCTCTTGGAATGGGAGAGGGAGCATCCTCTCGCCCCCCACCCCTCCTCCCCATGAGCCTCCCTTCCGAAGTTGTTGCCGTCGTATTGGCGTTGTCGCCATTACCATCATCATCACCTTCATAATCTGATCAAACTCCTCCTTCTCACCCTCGCCGTCACCCTCCTCGTCATTTTAATGCAAGGTCAATTGTTTTCCCGACTGTTTTGATCAGCGTGTGCTGATTGATCAACATGTGCTGATAAACAGCAGACAACACGTTGCAGCTCGTAGCGGTCCTGTGCGCAAGTGCACAAACGCGAATGCAACTGAACGCCCTCGGGGTGCTCGCCCAGGATGGCCTTGTCCCGCCAGCCCACAACAATAGATCATGAGCAACGCATTCGCCGTGCAACAAATCAATGACGAGTCTGCTATCAGAGCTGCAACATGTGCTCGACGTGATGCCTCACCCAAAGCGGGAACACATCGAATATCTCGTCGGAAGGCGCCGTCGCAGCCTCTCTCCTGCTGCAGCGAGCCGCATCAGAACACGGGTCGCGCCGGGGCCCCCAGACGCCGAGCTGGCGCAGCGCACGCTGTGAGGCGCAGGAGCACTGCGCAGCAGCATCCCGAAGGGACCCCAGGACACACAAATGAATACACACAATTAAACAGATTCCCCATATTTTCCAATATTTTCTGGGTTTTTGCCTTCCCGCCCAAGTCCCATATTTTCTTATATGGTCCTGGGGATCGACGATTGATTGTGTCTGTGGTTTTTCCCCCTCCTGACATCCGTCCATCACGCACGCACGCACGCACACAGCACAGCAGCCGACAACGCGGCACGTGGTGCAGCAGCCACGTGGCTCGGCCCGTGGCGCCCAGACACGCGTCCCCGGGCGAGCTGGGCGCAGCCCGACGGGAAAACAAAAAAAAAACGGCGCCCCGAGGGAGGGGCCCAGGCGCCCACGGGCCGCGGCCGGAGAGCGGCGCCGCGCAGCGCGGGCCCCCGCCACGGCCAGAGAGGCAAAGAGCGGCACAGCAAAGACACACACACACACACGCACGCACGCACGCACGCACGCATGCACGCACACGCACACATGCATGCACACGCACACATACACGCACACGCACACGCACACACGCACACGCACACCCGCACGCACACGCACACGCACACGCACACGCACACGCACACGCACACGCACACGCACACGCACGCACACTCGAACGCACACACGAACGCACACATATGACACACACGCACACGCACACGCACACACACACACACACGCACACACACACACACACACACACGCACGCGTTTGTCCTCGCGGCCGCGCTCGCAGAGGCGCGGCGAAGCAGAGGTCGGGCGAAGAAACGCGCGCGGACGGCCGAGACCACGCAGCGTGGAGACACTGACACACATACGCACAACACACAGCCGCACACGCACACGCACGCACGCACGCACTCTTCCTGCGTCGGGGGCTAGGCAGAATGACTGCGCTGGCGGAAAGGCAGATGTTGGACGAACAAACGCGAACCAATCAGCGATGCGCGGGGGGAGGGAGGGATGCGCCCGGCGACGGCGGGGAGCAGGAAACCAGGCCCGCTCCGAGCGGGGCCGGGCGGCGGCGGGGGGTGGCGCCAAGAGGGGGCCCCGCGGCGGCGCCGCGGCAGCTGGGGAGGGTAGGCCGGCCAGGCGGCTAGCGGAAGTGGGTGCCTGGGGGGGACCCGCGCCCAGCGCACGCCGGTGACGAAGAGGAGCTCGGAAACGCGAGCCGTGGGAGCCGAGGTCACGAGCGACCTGCGGGGCAACCCGGGGACGGCCACTGCAGGACCACCTCGAGGGGACGGCAGAGAGGGGGTGCCCGGGCACGAGGCGGCGCCCGAGGGCGCCAAGGTACAGGCACGAACACACACACACACACACACACACACACACACTTACTTCACTTCTTGGCGATCGCGGCCTCGCGCGCGGCGACGAGGCGTAGCAAGACAGGTACACACACTAAACAACAGACACAGCATGCAAAGAAGCAAACAACAAACCGCAAGCAAGCAAACAAGCAAGCAAGCAAACAACAACAAACATGACGTACGAGCGCGGCGGTGCCGCTCCTCGCCGCCTCCGCGCCGAGGGCACGGCAGGGGCGCGCAGAGGCCCCAGCGCATCGCTGCCTGTCGCGGCGGCGCCCGCGGCCCGACCCCGCGCTCCCCCGAGGGGTGCGGGGGGACTCGCCGACCAGCCGCAGCCATAACAGGAAGAGGAGGGGGAGGAGGGGGAGGGGGGGGGGGGGGGAGGAGGAGGAGGAGGAGGAGGAGGAGGAGGAGGAGGAGGAGGAGGAGGAGGAGGGGGAGGAGGAGGAGGAGGAGGAGAGGAGGGGAGGAGAGGGGGAGGAGGAGGGAGGAGGAGGAGGAGGAGGAGGAGGAGGAAGGAGGAGGAGGAGGAGGAGGAGGAGGAGGAGGAGGAGGAGGAGGAGGAGGAGGAGGAGGAGGGAGGGAGGAGGGGGGAGGAGGGGGAAGGGAGGAGGAGGGGGATGCTTGCCTGCGGGAGCTTGAGGAGGCAGCACCAGAGCTACTGCCCTACGCCAACCTCTTTTGCCGCCGAGTCCCAGTACTACTTCTGGAACGCAGCGGGCGTCTGCCACCGCCTGCGCGCCACTGGCGGGGTGGACCAGGGAGACCCGCTGGCGCCGCTGCTTTTGCCTGCGGAATGCGGCCCCGCCTGCGCGCCCTGGAGCAAGCTCTGCAAGCGGCTGCGGAGCAGCGGGGGGTGGACCCTGGCGCCGTCCGCGTGCTTGCCTACCTGGACGACGTCGTCGTGCTGGCGCCAGTGGAGCTCGCGGGCAACGTGCAGGCGGCGGCGCAGACAGCTCTGGCTGACCTCGGCTTGACTCTGGAACCGCAGAGGACGCCAGCCTGGTCAGCGGCCGCAGCCTGCCCCTTCGGCCTGGAGGAGCAATGGCGCGCGGAGGGCTTGACCCTCGTGGGCGTGCCGCTTGGGGCCCCCTTGCCCGCGGGGGGACTGCCCGAGGAGAGCGACGGGCGCCGCGTTGACCTGGGCTCGGCGGATTACGCGAGGGCGCGCTGCGCGGAGACGGCGGGGCGAGCGGCGGAGCTCCTCGCCAAGCTCGCGGCTCTCCCACCGGCGGCCTCGCCGCACCTGCCAGCGGCGCAAACAGCGGGGCTCTTGCTGCGCCACTGCAGCACCAGCCAGCTCACGCACCTTCTGCGGACGAGCCCGCCGGCTGCCTCGGAAGCCGCGGCTGCTGCCTACGACGAGGCCCTGCTGGCGGCATATACGAGCAACTCGCGGAGCTGGACCCGCTCACGGAGCTGCAGCGGGTGCAGTGCAACCAACGGCAGCTGGCGCCAGCGGCCTGGGCCGCGTCCTGGGCGCAGAGCCTGAGCGGCGTCCGGGAGCGCGTTGGTATCCCCTGCCTGGAGAACTTGGCAACCTGCGGGCTCCCGCTCGCCAGCGCCTGCCGCGACGCGCTCGCCGGGCTCGCGCAGCTGGCGCCGCCGCCGCCCCGCCCAGGCGCAGAGCTGGCAGGAGCTGGCTGGGACGCCTGCCCGAAAGCTTCAGAAGTCCCTCACCGCAAGGATAGACCACAGAAGCTGTTCTTCCTTGCTGAGGGCCCTGGGGCCAGAGGAGAGGCCGCTCCTGCGCTCCTGCGGCGGGCCGCACGCTTCCGGGTGGCAGACGGCTTCGCCAGGGCAGGCTCGCGAGCGGCTGGAAGACGGGGACTACAAGGCCACTGCCCGCTGCCTCCTGGGGCTTAAGACGCAGCGCCGCCCGGGGCGACCTGCTGCAACCGCGCCCGGACGGGCGAGCGCGCCGGGCAACGCTGCGGCGAGCCGCTCTGCGGGAAGGCCCGGCACGCCTGGCGCTGCCCGCGCGGCGGGGGCCCAGCGGGGACCTCGAGCGCGCCTGGCAGCACGTCCATGCGGAGTGCGGCCACCACGCTGTGCGCCAGGTACATGTCCCAGCCTGGGGCCGCTGGG